TGACACCTGCACTGGTAATGAGCCACTGCTTGAATTTCTTTTCTGCTGGGTGTATGGAGACCACAGAGTACGAAAGTCCCTTTATATCTGTAAATTTTACAAGATAAACTTTCAAAGCTACAAGCCCAAATGCCTTATTTGCTGATTACGTGAATACTGCAACCTAAGCACACGACTAAGAAGGCACTGCTCACCAGAGCTCTCTCTCTGTGCTCCATGGGGCCTGAGCACCCTACCTGGGGAGGAGCAGAACACACGACAGAACATCAGGATGAAAAGTAGCCAGCTATCTGTAGCTGGTTTGAATGTTACCAACTCAGGGAAAACAAAATTGTAAACATGATCCAAACTGCAGCCTACAGGCTAACTAAAATCCAGACAAACATTTCTTCCTCCAGTAACATGGGGGTTTAGGTCAAGGTTTTGGTTTTCTGTTTTAAGAGTCAAATGTCTCCATGTGAGCCTATTTACAGACATTGTACTTGAGGAGCTACTTGAAATGCAATTCATAACAGTACTAAAGAATTACCAGCTAAAGAAGAAACAACTGGGTGCAGTACATATTAAAGACAGTACTCTATAAAAAGAATACTACCTCTTGAGAAGCAAAAAAATTACAGAAATACTTATCCTAAGTCCTTATCCTTGTTACACACCGTGGCATTGGACAAACTCTAATTTCCATGTGTACTCTTATTTCTCAGCAGAAATTAAGTTCCAGTAACATTTGTGAGGAGTTTTAAGAATACCTGATAACTGTAAAAATACTAGGAAAAAACCCAAACAATTCAGTATCTGAGGGCAGTGACCTCCAGCCCAGCTTATCTATAAACCAAGTATTTAAAACATAAAGCAACAGCCTCCCTGTCTGAGCATGACCAAACCTGCTTCTACAAAGGATCCCATGAGAGGTGACGGGGCAGGGGAAGTGTTACTTTGGGATACATTCTCAAAAACACTTAGGTTATAATCCACAAAGAGAAAATCGTTCAACTTTACTAGAAAACTAGGGAGGGTGCTTCAAAAAGATGTTTAGTGTAGCACAGGTAGTGCCACGTTCCTCCTGCAGGTGTTACCCCATCTCTCTGCATGTCAACAAAGTAGAACCAAGAGATGCAGAATGTGACAGATTAACATCCGGAGTAAAAAAAGTACTGCCACTGAACTGAGATGTTTGGACATCAAGGTAGCTAAGAGGTGCAATCCATCTGCCCAGGCACAATCACTGAAGAGTTGAAAGTGCATCTTAACATTGTTCTAGCACAGCAACTGCTAAGTAAGCCTGGGGAAATGAGAATGTGGAAGCTAAAGCCTTTCCTCATTAGCCTTCGCATTAATATCTGACCATAGAGCAAAAGTGCAATAACAGATGGAAAAGAATAATTAAATGAAAACATGCATGCACAAAAGAAAAAAGAAATAGTCCATAGTGTTGCAGGTAAACACCTAAATTATTAAATTCTGCTCAACCAAAGATACCAGTGAAAAGGAAACAGGACGTCAATTTTACTCAGAGCATCCTGGGCTTTGCATTTGAAAAACAACCAACGACAAAAAAATCCCACACCAACAAGAAAACCTAAACCCCAAAAGATGACAAGCAAAGCTAAGTTAGAGAGAAGGGAAAGGACTACGGGCAAAAATATAGTTTTATACTAACAGATTTGCAGGAGTAGATCTCCTGGTATTGAAGACAGCACATGAAAGCAAGAACACTGCTTAAAGTCTTCTGTTTATTACCATGAGGGGATGAGGGTTTTTTCTAATGTCAGATTAAATTCATTGCTATCAATAGGTCATGTAAAGGTATATTAGATCAACTAGAATTAGTATGCCCAGTAGTAGCTAATTTAAAAATTCAGAAGGATAGAGAACCTTACGTACCACAGAACAGTGTGCCAGCATACAAAATACACTTAATACCTAGGTATATGCATCTGGGTATTAATGTTAAATGTGTTACATATAAAAAAATATAACATATTGGATTGTGCTAATTAATTATGGAGTAATTTAAACATGAAATATGATTTTTAAAGCATCCTTGAAAACAACTCCTTCAGTGACATTTTCACTGGCAGCACTTACAGATTTTCCATGTCATCTGAAATAGTCCACTGGCTACCTACAGAAGGAGGATTAACTAGAAAACACTTTCTTCTCTTACTTCATCAATGTATTCTTCAACAACATAACACCTTAATGGGCATTAATTTTGTTTTCAGAAGTTTGGAGTATCTGTTTTTAAAACCTTCATATACATTTCTTCCTCCAGATACAAATCTTCTGTCAAATCTGAATCACACAACTACATTTTTACTTCAGCCTATGGTAGGAGGTTTACAAAAACAAACCAAAAGTTGAAGTGTTAGGATAAAAAAAAAAAAAAGCCTTACAAGATGGTCAGCACTGCACCTAACAAAGTGTTCACAAGGTGGAAACCAAGCTACCAGAGTATCTGCTTTCAATTCTTTGTTTCTCATGCTCTGCATCCTACCCTTAACAGCCTCATGTCACATCAGTTATTCCCTTAGATGGTGAAAGAAGGCCATCAACAAACTACAAAAAAAAGCAACTTATCTAAAGGGTGAAGGTGGCCTTCAAAGTTCAAGATTTGACATTTAGACCCATTTCACTAAGACACTAACATGCATGAAATTTTGCCAGGAAATTAACTTTCACAAACTTAAAGTACACCTCCCATTCTATAGAAAAGCTGTTAATATATAGAAGAAAAAACCCTCACCTGTCCTCCGATGACTCCACTGCTGAATAAATACTAGATGAAGGTAGATACAGTTCATAGTTTCTAGCTGCATCCTGATCTGTCACAAGGGATTTAATCATATCTGTCTTCTCACAGCTCCCAGTACTTCTGACTACATAGTCTCTCCTTACTTTGAACACAGATTGCTCTTTCTGGTCGGCAGCAGCATTTGCTGAACCAAGATCATTAGAAGGAACATCAGCTTCCTTTTCATGCTTCATCAGGTGTATGGCAACACTCTCTTCTTCTTGCATTTGTTCTGCACCTGAAGAAAAGCTGGTTGGTTCTGTCATCCGCCCTCAGTAATTATCCTGGCTTTGAAGAAAGGAGAAATATATGAAGAGTATCTCTCATGGAAAAACAAAACCACATGGTTTTAGAAAATTACGGTATTTTGACAGTTAGGTTATATTCTGAGGATTCAGAGGGTACTTAAATGAGTCAAAAGAAGGAACAAAATCCATAATAGTTTGGTAAAATAACACTGCAGTCAAAGTATTTGCAAACTCACGTCCTTGGCCAGCCAATGTCATTTCTTACTGAGGCTTTTCTGTGCCAGTTCCACAGGCAACCCAGGCTAGAATTAGTGCCCTGAATGACCACTTGCTCAACGGGTATTATCACTTAAAACCCCGAGAATTAACAGAAATCCAAATCAAACGAGTTTCAGTTCTGCAAGAAGAGGGTTTTTACAATCTCTCCTGACGCTCCATGAAACTTCCCACGGCAACAGGATTACTGCTTAGTGAAAAAAAATCCATGTCTTTCCTTCTTCTCATACGATTTCCAAGTTATTAAAACAGCCCATTCTAGCAAGCTCTCCAAAGGCTTAGGACGTGTCTGAAGATTAAATTTTCAGGGTTATTTACCTTAACTTGATACGTAACCCCCCCTAAAAATAACGTGTTGCTTTGCCGTCTCCCCGTGCACGCTTTAGGCGATTCTGGGCAGTGCTGCCCGGGCCGGTCACCTCAGCACCGACAGT